ACATTCCTCTAAAAATGGGACTTGTCACGTAATAGGGGGCAAAGGCATGACAAGGGGTGATGTTTGGGGTCACACCACGGAAGAACGCTCACCTGCGACCAAGGTTTCCATATAATCCTTACAGACAAGTGACCGTAGTCTACGACAGTGAAGGAAATTGTTCGCTATCTTCACAGCTTTCTGCAAAACATCTCCTCTGAAAATGGAAAATGTCACATAATAGGCCCACTATGCCTGCTGAGAACTGTTCAAAGATTCCACTTGATATACAGAGGATGGGATATTGAGAGCAGAGGGAACACGTAAAGCCAGTAAGCGCTTAAAAACGAAATGAAGATCTAAGAATTCGGAAAATAACATTCATCTAATCTCACAATGTAGTGGATGAGATTGAGTACGTGGCGCATTCTGGGGTAAGTTTTGAGGCCCTTCTCTGTGTGTAGCGGTCAGCCCGCATAAGCGGGATTATATACACATCACATGCGAGCAACTACTTTTTGAGATGAAAATCGAGTGCATGGCGCAATCCTATATGGAGCTTTTCCAAAGTATCAAAGCACATTCTTAGTGTCCGACGAGCTGAATTCAAAGATATCTTCGGATTCTCGAAAGCTCAATTTTGAACCGAGTTATAACGAAATTAACGAGGATTCGCGTTATTCGCGTGAATTTTCGATTTCAAACGGCGAGTACTGTATCTTGAATTAAAATTGAAATGGAAGGTGATTGCTGATCTGTTGGAAGTGTTCAGTACGAAGACATAGAGGGAAACCCCTCCTGCAGAAGAAACGTAGGGAATGGGCAGCGAGCATTCACTCCAAATTGAGTCCTCTGAAAGTCAAGTGGAGGAACAGGATTCCAGTAGAAATTTCGAGAAAGGAATTCGAAAACTTCTTGGCATAGTCAAGTACTGCAGACGCAAATACGTCGTTCATGGTCGGATTGATTAATTGCGACTATAAACACCTTCCGGCCTGCACAATTAGTTGTCGTGTAGGTGGAACACCTTTCAAACGACTCCGAGTGGGGTCACTGCATGGCGCATACAGAACGGAATGGATCTGCGCCAAGTGCATCATTTTCCAATTTACTCCATCGAACTGACGTGCCAGAAGCATTTTGAAGGTGTTCAAAGAAGTTCCCTACTACGGCGAGGGAGTAATAGAGTTTTCGAGTGGCTTCAAAAATTTCCTTGACATTTCCTCGACGCAGATTTCTCGCGAACTAGAAATGTTCGAACAACCGAAACTTCTCAGAAGCACAAATCTAGTTCACAAAATGGTCTCCGATTTTTCAAAGATTGCCAATGAACAAAGTCACTGTCTTCCGAATAGTGATAACTCGCACGTTAATTTCAATTTCCTCGACGTTTTCGTTATCAGTTTCTATCACTATACCACTTGTGTCCCCATCCCACCCCCTATAACATATGTAAGAACCATGGCGCTATCATTGCTGTGACCCGAGCTACGAATTTCCGGTCAAACAGACACACACACACACACGCACAACCGCTTAGCGGATTATATATAGTAGGATATTTATTCGAGCATCCCATTCATCCTCAAGAACTCTAGAAGGT